GCCTCCCGTTGCCACACCAACGCTCCCGGGTGGCGTTTGGTTCCCTGGTTCTGTTAACCCAGAGAAGTTGAGCAACGCCGAGAGCAAAGTGGAAGCGATGACTTTTGCGGTGTTTGTGGCGACTGTAAAACTATACTACACAAAAAAATAAATAGACACATACTGTGGCTGAAAAGCTGTAGGGACAACTTATTTTTTCCTAATATGTAGAGAATTTACACTTGAATCCTAAATAGACCAAAAACAAGCTCATTTTTTCTTCTTGGAAGACAAACCTTAGTAGTTACACCGAAATAAGCCGTGCTGAGTAAGCACTGGTGGAAAGGCGCCATTATGGCCTTCGGTTAACTAAATAGTTATTTAATGTGGATTATTTTTTTAAGTGCTAGAATAAACAGATTTCTCCAATTCTGTGGTTCAGCCAGATCTGTAAAATACCAAAAAATACCAACATGAGCTCTAAATCAGAACCGAACCACTCAATAGCCAATTCCACTCCAAGCTAGATTCTAAAAACTAAAATCAAGGAATCTGATTCACTCCATTTTTTTTATATGCCGCGCACGGCTTGCCTTGTATTCAAAGTCTCATGAAATTGTAGCCAAAATATAACAGGTCAAATATTAGAGGGGCTGTTTTATTGGTGGAAGGGCCCGAAAACAGCGAGTAGCCAGCTGAGCTGGTCTACTCATATATTCCACCATCATGGTCAAACTGGTCCTCAGCCTGAGTCCAGATGGAGGCCAGTCGGGTTCTGTCTTTTCACGTGAAAGACAGAAAACGACTTTAGGCCGTCTTGGATCCAGAGACGGGACGGGGCCGCGTGTGAAGCCTACCATTAGGTGGTCAGTGTATGGTTTGAAAGTGCTGCTGTGCAGAGCCTATCCGGGTCGGTTACCTAACGGCGCCAGAGCCGCGTTTTAGCTCGGCTCAGCTCACTGCGGCCTGCAGGCGGGACGCGGCTCCCTGAAAACACCCCCCCCCCCCGTGCCTAAAATACCTGAATAAGCCCCGTTTCACGCAGCGTCAGAAAGGGCCCCGTCCCACATCGACCAATGGCTGCAGCTCGTGTCTGAACTGTTTGTTTTGGTAACCTGGCCGAAGCAAACCCTTCCCCCCTCCCTCCTTTTTTTTTTTGTTAGATTGAGGCAAACTGGTTAGATGGAAACCTGGATCGGGACAATGACTCACGGCCGTGCAGTGATTTTCACAGCCGGGATGTGCATTCCTGGCCCAACAAAGGAATCCTGTACACAGCACTCACACCGACACGCCGAGCGGCCGGCTGGATACCTCTGGCCTCACCGGTTTGAAGAAGGCCAGAGACAAAACGCTGCTCAAGCACGGGATTTACCTCCAAAACCTCTGCACATCCCCCCCAAAACCCCCAGAGTCTTCACTGTATGTTAGATGATCCAAACACAATGTACTATTGCTTTTTAAGTTACAGTTTATCTTTCATAGATGAGACAAATAATAACTTAGCTTTGTCACCATAACAGAACAAGCTGATAAGAAGATGTAGAATTTGATTGTTTTCCACCATTACAAAAATCTGAAATCTTCTAAGAAGCCATGATCTAGAAAGTTCTTGTTTTTCAACACCTCACTTAATCAAACCTGATAAATTCACTTCAAAATAGGCTTTTATCTTTCATTCGATGAATAACTAACAGAATAATATTACTGACCAGCTCCAAACAGAACTACCGAGGGTTTGTTAGACTTTGCCAGCAAAAGGTGATTAATAAAAGAGCCGTACAGAATTAATAATCACATTGGTGCAGAACTTCAAACAATCCCCTCAATGTTTGGCAAAGTTCCGAGCTGACGGCCCCATCGTAATTTAGTTTGAGATGAAGAAAGTGTCTGCTATGGCAACCAGGACGAAGGTATATTGTGTTTATAACGTAGGTGTGTAGCTTACTGTGGGGTCTTAAGTGAGTTAGGCACAGAACAGCCCGTCTCAAAGTCTGAGATCATCATTACATCAGAAAATGTGGATCTTTTTTTCTAAAACGAAGACGACTGAAACAAACCTAACCGCGACATGGTCGAGATTGCCTACAATTGAAGGGCTTCCGTATGAAGCACCGACGCCTAAACAGGAACAACACATTTGTGAAACAAAAACAGTTTCGCTCTCAAGGGGGGAAGTAAGGCAGACAACAAAATTACCCACGGGTTACAAAAAAAAAAAAAAAAATAGAGCTAACAAGACTGGATACATCTGGATTTCAAAGCCTAGGTTACTGTACATTAAGCATGAGCTCCTATGAGTAAATCTGAATGTGGGAATTAAGATTAACACAAAGAAAATGATTGAATTAGCTAGCATGCTGATGAGCTTATGTTATAAAAGTATAGTTCTGGGTAGCTACCAGGTACCTAAATGAAATTAACCAAGTCAAAAGTACAAGATAGAAGCTAACTATTCACCAGGTCAAATCACAAGTGCTGTCTAAAACACAACCACAGTAAAAGAGTGAAAATGTTGTTTTAAGTTGGCTGTAGGGAAGTTTGAGCTGCTTCAATCAGAATGCTCAAATAAACCTTTCCGGTTTGGTTATCAGTGGTTTCGTTGGTTTTTTTTAAAAATGACATTCTGCACACAGCTGTATTTTCCTGCTGAACTACACAAGAACATGATGTGGGTTTCTGTTTTTCAAATGTTCCCCCAAGCCTAGATCCAGCCAACTTTAAACCATTAACATGAAAAAATATGCAATTTTTTAAGAAGTTTTTTAAAAAACTTTAAAGTTGTAGGATTTCACGTTTTACTGATTAAAAGAAAATTAATTTATGGATTTTTAGACGATACAACTGTGACTTAAAACCGATTTAAGTGGCTACGTTTCCCATGGCGTTCTCAGTTTAGGAAAGGGCTGAGACTGGGAATAATGTGGCCTGTCTGAGTTGGGATGAACTAAATGGAGGTGATGAACCAGTTAGTCAGCCTGCCTGTTGAGACTTCATGTCGGGGGCGGCTGTGCTTCATACCCTTTTGTTACTGAAAAACATTTTTAAAAAAATACATGCGGATGCAGTCGTGTGCTTGCTGTCGCACAAAAAGGGAGCAAATAAACACACACATTTGGTTGGATAATGACCCACAACTAAAAGTTCCCCCGTGGTGAAGCACGTACGACTAAAAACTAATGACAATCCGAGTAGAGTTGATTTAAAGTTAAACAAAGAGCCGTGTCCCTCGCCGAGACGTTAAACAGGGAACATGAACCATTAGCTTAGTAAACGTGACCAACTTTTGGCTTTTAGTGTCAAAAATAAATACACAACGACTGTAGTTAACATGCCGAACATTCAGGGTTTAAACGAAGGCTAAATTAACCCGCTAAAGAACAATAGACGTACAGCTAGCTAACACTAGCTACTCACCTTAAAATAACCACCCTCGTAGTGCGTGTTTGGGGGTCCGAATATCGCTACTTCCCAGTTGTACATGTCCGACTCGTCAACCAAAGTTATCTTGAAACCCTCGACTGGCTCATCTTGTAGACTTTTCATCTCCAGCATGAGTGCTTTTTGGGAACTGGCTACATGATGTCCATGTTGAGCCATATTCCACTACGATTAGTATTAATATATCGGCAACCCAGCGCAGCTGTGACTGCGAAGGACAAAGCTAGGTCGGTTCAAACAACAGCCACCCGTAGAAGAACCGAGTCCTTCGCAAAGGAACGCGTTGACGTTAGTTTCCGTTAGTATGCCTTCAAAACAGGATCTAAAACCGCGACGACTGGGCTTTATTTGGTCAGAGCTGGTACGCCTTCCTCCGTTGTTGTGAACAATCCCGAGGAGCTCAGTTTCTGCCGACCATCTAAACCTGTCCAATCAAGTCGAGATTGACAGGATTTCCGCTCACGGCTTTCAAAATACAGTTCCTTCCACTTGTGTTTGTGTAGTCTTTGTCTTATTTTACAAGACTGTGCATGTACCATTAAAACAGTATATCCGTATAAAATATTGTATTGTATTGTTTTTCCAGTTAACAATGTAGCAAAAGAGTTAATCGCCTTATCAATGTTTTAGCGACCACTTTGTTAAAACCATATTCGACATATAAACAATTTGGTTAGCTCTAATATAACCAAACAAATATGATTTACTTGAGGAAATCCAACTATTATGTCAATTTTGAGCTGCTAATGTGCTTGTAAAACATTCACATATTCGCTTTGAGTAACCTTAAACATCTTACGGTCTTATTGTGAAAGGATATCGGAAGTGAGATTCTCCTAGTTGAGACGTAGCCTCCCTTCTTGCTTTGTGAGGGAGCCATAAAGCTAGCGAAAAAGCCATAACTACGTCCAAACAAATTACAAATACAAGAACTACACTGTGTGCTTTTCTGTCTGTTGTTCTGTTACTCAACAGAAGACTCTTGAGACTATGGAGCAAAGGTTTCTGGGAACTGAAGTTCAAAGCAGGAAATCATTGCGTTATTGAACAAAGTTCAAGTATAAATTTGCCTGAGCAGAAAGTATAACACAAGTCACACATATTTGTTTCTGTTACACAAGGAGAGACTACAGAGGCTTATTACAGCTTTTATTTCTAATTTGAATATGTCTTTAAAAGGGAGTGTAGATCATTTATGTTGCCCCCTTTAAATCATGACATTGTACATTGTAGTTGAACATGGAGGGGGAAAAGACATGTATATTTAAAAAAAAAAATCATTTTGAGAGTATATTTTAATGTCACAAGCCAAACTTTGTAAAATAACTCACTACAACTGAACCAAGAGAGAATTAAGACAAAGTGGGTTGCTTCTCAGTACACTTCATGTGACCTATTCAATGGAAAAAGTTCCCTCCAAGCCCCACGCCATCGGTGTCATGTCACAAAACTGCAGCCCCTTCCTTCCCCTGTGTAGAATAATTTAAAACATTCAACGATATAGCTTCTTTTAATTATCAGAACTTAGAATAGATAAAAACACAAAACCATTAAAAAAAAAAAAAGAAGAAAAAAAAGAGAGAATGGACAAATAGACTTTATAAAAAAATTGAGGGTTGAAAAAAAAAAAGAAAGAGAAGAAAAAGGACAATTTGGAATGAAAAATGTTTAAGTCCAAAATAAAACAGAACAGGGAAATAAAAATTGTACATTCCTAATCATGCAATATACAAATTTTAATCTAGTAGTATGCACAGAATGATCAGAGTAAGGACAATGGATAATTAGGCGAGTTGATACTGGGAGTCACTGATATCAGTCATCTTTTCAAACAAGGGATACATACATAATTATCTTCTATTGACATTCCTGAAAAACAACTGATCACTTCTGTATTCAGACTCTTCTACTAGACCGAATATCAAGTGGAATGGCTGACCTGACCTTCTGGTCACAGACAAAATTATCACAGTTATCTACAATAGCAGACATATGTAAAGGGGCCTTACCAGTATATATGAACAGAGACGCTACCGAGTCAGTTTTTATCTTGCTACTACGAGGTTGGGTGGACAGGGCAATGACTTCAAACATGAACCAAAAGACCTTCAATGTTCATCATGACTTGTTAATGCACAAGAAAGGAAAAGAAAAAAAGAAAAAAAAAGGCAAGGCAGTTTCTGAAGGGCGGAGAAACAAAGGGGTTTACATAGGTCCTCGTCACCTGGGTGGGGCGGGTGTAAAGCAACACCGGTGTAAAAGTTTGAGGGATTTCAAAGAACGAGAAAGAAGAGGCTTTTTACTAGTGGAACCCAAATCAACTCACTGACTCAAAATGAAGCATAAACAGTCTGGAAATAGAAGGAACTCCAATCTGATAAGAGTGGCTGTGGAGGGTTGCTCTACTAGTGCGGAACCCCTATTTTCAGAGAGCTCAGGGAGCACTGATGTGAAGTGGCGAGCTCTCTTTATGCTAGATTATTCTGCCATTGCGTTTCTCGAGAGGTAACAGTTGTTAGAGTCTCCTGCACCAAAGTGCCTTCACGGAACCAAGAATGAGGAGAATATGAGGATCCTTGACCCGACATGAATCCATCCTCAACCTAAACAGAAATAACACTGTACGTCTAACACTCTTGTTTGATTCGTGCAATTACTCCCCCACCTTCATTTTTTTTATTTCTTTATTTGTTTAAGGAATGGTATGTTCAAAGTCTTGGGGGGGGTCATTTGTCAGCTTAGCATAACTTGATCAGAAAGCACATATTGGGACTCTAAAACTCTTAAGTGCTGGGATGGGTCAGACTTCATGGCTAAGGCACAGAGCAAAAATCACTGAACCACTGTACCATCAGTAGCGCCATACGAAAACATTTCTATTTAACTAACACCGGCATATCTGCTCTGAGCCTCGCCAAAAGGTGAGGAAGGGGGAAGGGCGGTTTACCAGCGTAAGCCCCCTGCCTTTTAGTGTATCTACCTTTGGTTTCGTCTATGGTCAATGGAGCTGTCCAGAGCCCGGCTTTCTCCAGGCCGCGGGTCAGCAGTAGGGGGGAAAAGAAAAAAAAAAAAAAAACAGTTTGGGGACCCTTTTTTCCCCCCCCCCCAAATAGGACCAGTATGGGAAAAAAGTCTATTTTTTCCAGGCCTTTGGAGATGGGCAGCACTAACCTTTAGTAAGCGGAGGGGTAAGGTGAGGCAAAGGTGCAAACAGGCTTTACAAAGAAAGAAAAAACACATATACTGAACTCCAGTTGTCAACATTACAATACATGACTGTTACAGACGGATTTGCCAACAGTGGAGGCTGGAAAAGGTAATGCAGGAGGCATCCTGAAAAGAGAAGCTCAGGGCAGAGCTGCGAACAGGGAGGAAGGGAAAAAAAAAAAAAATCAAAGTGCAGAAGATGTAGCACGCACACAGAGAGTTTGTAAAAACAACATCAAGTATGAAGGAGTGACCGTAATGCTCAGAGTGCAGAGGAAGAACAAAGTGTGGGGCGCTGAAGTAGAAGTAAGAGGAGGGGAATCTTGCGAATCCGAGGACTAATAAATAGGGCGACGCTGGAAGTACTCGCAGTGTTTCGTAACATGATCGTGTTGTGTTTCGGTGGGAAGGTGGGTGGCGTGGAGGGGTCGGGGGGGCACCCTGGGGCTGTCGGACACAATCAGCACTGAGAAAAGGTCTGCTTGATCTCATCCAGCACATTCCCAAGCAGCGTCGGCTCGTCGCACTTAGCGTCAATGGACACCGTCTGACCAGACTAGGGAGGGAAAAAACAAATAAGAGAGCAACACGGTCACCACCTGAAACTTCACTCGACAGCAAGGTTTAAAGCCGGAAAGTGTGAATCCAATAGAGAAAAGCAGTTAATAAGGGAGGAATCCACTCACAGTTTTGACCAGCAGACAGACATGGTGACCCTGAATAGACCTGCTATACATTGAGGCACAGGAGTCGATCCGCTCCACAACTAATCAGAGAACAAATGGAGAACATGAGGGTCAGGGACAGGCTCAAGTACCATTATATAAAGCACTTTTTGTGAAATAAATAAATAAATAAAATAAATACACCATATTAAAGTCGTACCATTGTCAAACCAACGACAGAAAAATGACAATTTCTCTAAAATTGAACAGTTATAAACGCTTTATGAGGTGCCACAAACGTTTAAGAAACATGGCACATAAAGTAGATCAAATCTGTACCAGAGAAGTGGTGGTGGAAGCAGATCCTGGCCAGTAGATGGTGAAAGGGCATGATAATGCCTTCCAGTTTGAGGGAGCTGCTCTTCAGGTCTCCCGACTCCAACAGCTTTGCAAATGCATCACTGACGAGGCAAAGGATCAAATTCATTATTGTAAAATAAAGGTTTTAGCTAATTCCACAAAATAGTTTACCAGGCTTTTTATTTTTTTATCTCAAGCATCAAGTCCAGAAAGAATATGTTTGATGGGTTTCACTCCTTTAAAATCAAAATATTCCTGCAATGTGTGGTTCAGGGTTGCAAGTGAGCCCGAAATTGCTAAAATGGCTGGTATTAGAAATGGGATACAATCGCATCACCGACCTGTAACAAGGAGTAGTGATTAGGTAGGAGGTGCAGGTAAAGTGCAGTTTGAAGTCCAGTTTTTCATGTGTGGAGGAGTCTTCATTCTGAGGAGATCAAACACAACAGAGTCACAGGTTTGTACAGTAGCGGTCGCATATCTTTGATAGGCTTAAAACTAATCAGGTCGTATTGAAAAAATATATATGGATAATAATGTTGACACAATAACACTGACATACACAAAATGTATGAAAACCCCTATAATATTCACTGTAAATTGACTGTCTAACAACAGCTTTTCTACCAATAATTTCTATTTAGATTCTTCCAAAAAACAAAACATTAAAAAAAGAAAGACAGAAACACATTTCCTGATACAACTGGGTGTGTAAGAACTAGAACTGAACCTGGATCAGCCACAACACAAACAGTAACTTCTGTGAAAGGAAAAAAGCCCTCATGTGGAATTTGACGAGTAAACAAAAAGACTTGAGGGGAAAAAAAAAAAGCTTACTATGACCTTAAAACTGGGTCATTTACTGATAAGCCTTTTATGGGGGAGGAAAGAAAAAATATAAAAAAACAAGCATTTGGAGAAAAAGATCCCTAAACTGCCTATAAGTAAATGATTTCCTCCCCCAGTGGCACTTGCATAACTTACTTACATTGCTTTGACTGTAATACATGTACACGTGCCAAAAAAGTGTTTATGTTAGAACGAACCTTGACAATGAAGGCAAGAGTCCCCTTCAGTTTCTGTGGCATGACGATGCTTTGCACAGTGAAGACAAACCGCGCCTCATTGGACACCCCTTCATGACGAGACAGAAACAGAGCGTTAAACAGGCAACTGCTATTTCTAACATGAACATTTAGAAATGAGAGAATAGTCTGTGCTACTAGCCCATGCTAGGGTGTGCAGCCAATCAAAATCTGATAATTTTAAGCTTAATCGCCAAGTAAAAAACTAAATCTTACAACCCCAATGCAAGCTATGCTCATTTTTAGAATAGTAAAAAGGGTTTTTGAGTTTTATATTGTGATAAACATTTAAAAACCTCCATTCTGAAAATGAATAAATGGAGAAAAAGGGAAAGAATCTAACCAGGAGGAAGTTGGAAGGGGACAGTGAGGCCGTCGTGGGGACCCGAGCCTTCAGGCCTCTGCAGCTTGGAGTTCAGAGAATCCAGGACGTTGAACTCCATGGATTTTAGGAAGCTGTCACACTTGTTTTCGAAGATGACCGACACCACCACCTGACTGCCATCCTGCAGGTTTCCCTGGATGTCGTACACCTTCAGAGGAAATCGTTATTTAAAAAAAAAACATTTCTAAATGAACTGGGAAATAATATCCAAGTCTGTTGCCTAAATTCCTTCCCTCTATCTTTAGAAATAGACAGATAGGAGTCAGAAAACACAGTAAACCAGATTGATTCCCCTAACATTAAAGCACACATTGCTGTTTCCAGGAGCCAGCCCACACAGAGACAGCGAAACAGAGACGGAATCACTCTCAGAAACAGAAGAAACATCGCTGTGCTCCAGAGCAGCCTGCCCCAGAGAACAGCCCCTTAAGAACCACAAAAAGAGACACACGTCTACAAAAGAGGGGCTCCACAAACGTTCTGTCTCTGGCAGAACACAAACCAGTACCTGATCAGCATCCTCCATCATCTTTAAGGAGAAGGAGAGAAAGTGAGAAATCTGGATGGGTCACTTTGTTTTCTCTGCTGCCTGATTTAAGTTCCACAATAGCCAAAGAATCATTATGGCCATTCAATTACAAACAGCAGGTGATTTTAGTCATACACATGAATTTACTCAGTGCATAAGCAGGTCCTCCTTTTTTTCTTCTTTTTTTTAAAACTACAAATTCAACGAAAGATTTGAAAATAACTAAATAATGTTTGATTCATGATGACCACATTCCACAAGCATATCTTTGGATAGCAGAAATTCAAATTACATAATTGCTGTGACTAAACTGAGGCCATATAGTTAACAGATTTACAAAGAAAAGTCAATCTATGATTACATAAAAAACAAGCAACCTGTTAAGCACTTTATTTTATTATTTTATTATCCATCTTGTAGTCCTATACTTGACTCCTAGCAGTTCACTACAAAGAATAATATTCATCAGGAATTATGGTTTGCAAGTGTGGATGAAGCGTGGTGTTTACATTTATGTTGATTTTGGATTATCTAAAAGAAAAGTACAATATATGAAAATGTGTTTGTGTGAAAAACTCTAAACTCCATGAGAATATCAGACAAAAAAAAAAGACACTCACCATCTTGATGTAGGAGTTCTCGGCCAGCAGGCAGTAATTGGACATGGGCTGAAAGGAGAGAAGAGCTCAGGTCGCATCAGGCATTCTCTGCCACTGAGCGCTAACTGGCAACCGGAGCTCATTACACAGCTGATGTGTGCCAAGCAGTGGTGTGTGCGCGTTTGTCGTCAGTGGATTGAAACAGAGCTGCTGGGGGAAACTGATAAACGGGCCTCCAAGCAGCGTGAAAGAATCTGCAGATTTTTTTTGAGTTGGGCGACTTGTTTTTCTCCCAATTAAGAAGATGAAACTAGGGCCCCAACAGCCGTTGCTATCCCCAAATTAGGAAACATTCAAATTGCCAAAAAAGGTAGAGACATGGAGAAAAACCACGGCTATCTGCATCGTGAAAGGGCAGTGTAAGACTTACCGGTAGGGGCTCCTCTTCCTCCACGGTGCCATTCTGCACCGACTCCTCTCCTCCGTCACTGTGGTGGTGATGGTGATGATGCTTCTTTTTCTTCTTTTTGTCCTCTTTCTCCTTTTTCTGCTTCTTCTTCTTGTGTTTGGAGGACTTCTTAAAAAAGAAAAAAAAAAAAAAAAGAGAAGGAAGTTGGACGGAGATAACGGAAACAAGGCTCCGCGTCTGGGTTAGATCTTCTTTTTCCGGAAATCGTGCAGGCCGGCGACACGTTTGCGAACACGAGAGCCGCGCCTGTGCGGCGTTCCGGGCAAAGCGCGGGGGAGCTGGAATCTGGAGCCGAGCCGCCACACTTTGAACCTAGCAATTATCACATTAGTGTTGACTTACAGGCTCCTCCGTCTCCGCGTCTTTGGGCTCGTCGGGCTCGGAGTCTGGCACCGTCCCAGAGGGGGCCTCGGGCACTGGGGCCGCTTCTGCTACTACTGTGGCTACGTCCTGTTCCGACACGGGGGAGAGGGGAAAAACAAGAATTAAGGAAAGAAAAAAAACAATCAAATAAAGATGCTAGCAGCCATAGCAAGTAGCGCATGGAGTAGAGTTTGCCACATCTGTGAGGAGAGCTAGGTGATGTTAGTGAGATCTCATAGCATGTCAAAATGAATAAAGGACACCCATAGAAGCTCGGTGAATGATTTGGATTTGCAAAACCAAAAATGCATGCAGAAATAAACTAATCTAACCTGACAAACAAGAGATTTAATTTGGGGCTCCTGGATCCAACCGCATAAAGCCGCCGCCCACAAATTAAAAGAGCTCTGTGTGTGTGCAGGATTCTGGTGACAGCCTGCACATAACAACCCTCAGATCTGTTATGCTAGGCTCCAGTAGCCCATCCAAAAACAGGTCTCTGGGTCTAATGGCTCGTTGCTTTTGCCAAGCATCTTCTCATAAAGTAAGCCAGATTAAACACCAAACTTGTTAGATCGGTGATAAAAGTTTATTTGTATTTTCTTTTAATTTTTTTTAAGCCTGCCGGGTCTGGCTGAAGGTACGGCAGGAAATAGAAATATCCTTCAATCCAGAGGAGTTTGAAGGTTCTCATATTTTAAGCCGAAACGTTTTCATAAGATGCGACAACAGAAAATACCTTCTTGGGTTTTTCTTTAAAAAAAAAAAAGAAAAAAGAAAATAGTTTTTCTTGAATATTACATAAATAAATATACCGGTATATCAAATCCCCTATACATTTATTGTGATATGGTGGGGAAAAAAATTAAAACTAACTCGCAAAGCATGATTGTTCACACTCTGTTTTGCCACCCACAAACTAAATGTAAAACTCTGCACTTGGTTACAACCCAACTGTTTTGAGGGCTTTTGAACAAGGCGACATTTTACATTTCTGCTTAGCGAGACAAACAAACAACGAAGAGATCGACGACACTTGGAAGCAGTCGGAGGACGTGTCAGAATGGATCCCCAGAGCCACGGAGAACAACCCACGGCAGACTTTTGCTCTTTTGCGACAGCCTCTTACTCACTTCCACCTCAAAACCGACACGACATCCTGTGCGCACGAGCGAGGGAGAACCACCGGCACAAAGTGACAAATACAAACTGTGTCGACATAGACATGCTAGAAAACAGAAGGAACGGTGCCGAGTGACCCGTGGAACTGAGAGAATGGGAAAAAAAAAGGGTTTGAGACGATAAAAGAATTTGTGATGCTCATGTGGAAACTACTTGGACGAGGTGAACAGCCAATCTAAAACATGAGGGAGGTCCATGAGACACGGGGCTATGAGAGAAGAATGTGAAAACTGAGGAGGACATGGAGCGAGGGAGGGGTGACTCAACCTGGGTGTTAGAGGGCACTGGAGCGTTTGAGAGCCAGAAATCCAGATCTGAAACCTAGAAGAGGAAGGGAGGGAGAGGGGTGGCAGGAGGTGAGAGGGGTGAGGGCCAAACAGGTTCTATATCTTTGTAGTATTCATGAAAATGGATACAGAGATTACACTGCACTATTTCATGAATAAATCAAGTATTTGGCGAGCGACGGCTACGAGAAAACGGATACTTGATCACTTGAGCTGACCGAAAGAGAGGCTGGGAAGAAGCAATGGAAGTGCTGGGTCAATGAAAATGATCAAACATATCCGATTGGAAATAACTTCTTTTTTTTTTTTAAACCCAAACTGTGTGTGTAAAGTTATTGACTTTTTGATTGACAGCTTTAATCGGCTTTGTGAGGAGAAGAAAATATGTTCCCGGACTGTGTTGCTGGGGAGGAGAGGGCTTTGCTTCGACATGTTAAGAGGCATACCTCAGCGGTGGTAGAGGGGGGCGGGGCTGCCTCCTCTCTGCTCTCTTCTGATTGGACAGCCGGCTTATCGCCCTGACCCCCGAGAAGATCCTCCTCCTTCTCTTCATGCTTGTACTTCTTCTTCTTCTTCTCTTCTTTGCTCTTCTGTGGAACAGAATGTGAGGGCAGTTTCCAGTATGAAGGAAATGTTCGGGGGTGGGTTGGGTTTGGTTTGGGGGACATTTACCTTCCTATCTCTGTCTTTTTCCTTCTTCTTCTTGTCTTTGATGCTCTTCTTCTTGGGTTCTTGTGAGGCATTTTCCATCTCCCCGTCCTCTGTCGGGCTCTTCAGAGCCTCTGCTGCGCGGTGTGACCTGACAGGCAGCTTCTCGCTGTCTGCGAGGGGCCTGAGAAAAAGGAAATTCACATTTTTTACTCAGAATCGTGATGCGACTGTGCTTCCGCCCGGATTTAATGCCGTGGTCTGTAGAACCTTTCTTGCATTCCTGCATTCTTTATGCGTCAACATCACAACAAAAGTCTGACAAAGCATTTCTGGTGCAGCAGCATTCGCAAGTAAGTTTTCTGCGATGTAAAGCAGCTGGGACTCAAAAGAATGTGCTCTCAATTCCTCCAGTGGAGCTAGAAGCATTCCCAGACAGTCAGCCTCCATACTGAAATATTCCCCCATGCTGAAATGAGCTTTTACGTGTTTTTCCTAAAAAAACTTTACCCTTCAGAAATAAAAGGGGACAATGTGGCCCCCTGCTGGCTATATAATAGTAAGACTTTACCACTAATGCTTTCTACAAGCATCCCCCTTAAACATTTAAAGTATTCATTTCCAGGTTGTTTCTAGGTGCGAGTTGCCCTGGTTTTCAATTTGTTGGTCTAGTCAATTAGCAGTTAGGAGCCAAAAATAGAAAAGTGCATTATGAAAGTCATAGATGACAACAACAAACAGGAACTTTTGGAGTTTTTACACTATCCAATAATCTTGCACTGGTTTAAGGGTGCCTGATGTAGAGAGCTCCACTGGGAAGAACCTGGGAGACAGGCAAAATAATTACAATCCCCCTGCACAAGTCTTGTAAAAAGCATGCCGATGCCGACTGTTTGTTATGCTAAAAATGCTTTTAGAAGGTTATTTGGAGAGGCTAGCAAAGGATTAACTCCTGAAAATATCAGCAACTAGATGTAAAAGCTCTTTTTCCATATAGCAATTTCATGTTCCAATGTCTTTTTTTAAAACAATTACCAACATTAAAAAATCAATTATCAGGTGTGTATGGGGAATATGTTGCTGATATTTCCAAGGTTGTAACAAAAAAGAAAAGAAAAACAAAAGTAACTAAAAGAAGGGGGAGAGAAAAGGGATAGTGAAAGTAAACGGGTGTTGTGGATAGAGGGAAAGAAGAGAGTAAAACGAGAGGGAGCAGCTACTGTAAACCCCAAATGCAGTTAGGAGACCAAGAGAGAGACGGAGAAGTGGATTATCTGGAGAGTCAGGGCCCGGTACTGTGGCTGGGGTGCTACTCACCTGCGCCCAGCTAGTTCCAAACTGCTCGTACACACACACGCACACAGATACACACACAGCCACGCACACAGACAGCAATGGGTGCGTGGAGGCAAGGAAGAGGAAGAAAAAAAGAAGACTGCATGAGGAGTGTGAGCGAAGAAAAAGGCACAAAGTCACTCCGACCGCAGTGCTCAACCCAGAAAACCCAGAACATACAGAAAGATCTCAAATCCTTTCAAGTTTTCCACGTTTCATCAGGTCTGTGATCCTGTATCCCCTTGATTAACTGTGGGGGTGATAGTAGTGATGTGACAGTGAGGGTCTGCTTTCTTTCCTCACATACTGATTGGAATTATGAAATAAATGGCTCAACCTCTATTGTAACTGATTATTGATCGACATTTTACAAAAAAAACAAAAAACAATTGCTGTGGGACCTTATGCAGGCGAGTGTTTATGTTGCCATTTATGACTCAGCAACTCAGGTAGATAGCAGCCAACCTGGAAAGGCATCAATGGCCAATGATACAGGGTTGATGTATCTATAGATACTAGACTAGATACTTTAAGATTGACGGGAAAAAAAGGACAGAAAACACTGAAATTATCACACAAGAGAAAAAGTCTAAAGGAATATAATGTATAATGGAGAGAAAAAAAGGGGGTGTATAAAGGAGAAAAAAAAAAACCAAAACGCTGAAAACTGGAACAAATCCTAATTCTTTTGGTGGATTGATTGTTTAACGCATTGAAAATCAGAAATCGGAGCAACGATCTCGTTAGCTGAAGCGGAACTGAAGTGTTCGTTGTGTGGACTCACTTGTCCAGGTCGATATCCAGCGCCTTGTGAGGGTCGTTGGGATCTTTGTCATCGTCGTCACTGGGTAAGGCATTCTGAGGCCAGAAGAGCGTGCAATCGATATATTACCACAACAAGACATTTGCTGAGAAACTGACATGTCGTCATTGTTGTCTCAGGTACAAAGAATCAAAGTGAGAGATAGTTACAGACTTTACGAGGCAAAAAGAAAATAGCTTTGGGACAGTAAGCAGTTAATATCAAGTCACAGTCTGCACAGTACACATGACAGACTGATTATTATAAAAGGCTTTCTAGAAAACTAACATTCCTCCTTTAGCTAAAAACCGGCCCACCTCTGGCATTTCCTCGGTCACTATGTCGACCAGGTGCGCAGGTGTGATGTCCTCCTCGCTTTCTGGCCCCGAGTCGTGTTTCCGCCCGCGCCCGCTGCGCTTTTCTTTCCTCTTCTTCTTGTCCTTCTTCTTCTTTGCCCTCTCCTTCTGCCGACGCTCCTCCTCCAGCTTCACGTACTGGTCGGACATAGGCAAGCCTGTGGGGCAGAGGCAAGTCGCCGTCGAATGAGAATGACTGAACAAATAGATGGAACCAAAACAAATGCTTTTTTTCATTTTACAAATAATAATGTGAAGATGGCGTGCTCTACCTGGGACTTTGAGAGGCACGGTGAGGTCAATCTGCACCACTGGGATGTGCTCCACACCAGGAGCGTCCTGATACACCTACAGACGCGTTAACAGAGCTTGTGAATACTTTACATTCCATTTCTGAAGGGCTGATTAAATGGAGCCAAATTACCTTTTGAGAGGATGGAGAGGCCTTGATGTAGAATGGGTTATTGGCTTGCTCCTGCTTTCTAGCTTCTCTCCTCTGATGGCCGGGAAATAAAAAAGAATCATGAATGAATCATTGAACAACAACTAAAAACCTTTTTTCATGTGCAGGGACCCACACGGTAAGCGACATTTAATCACACTAAAATTCAGGCAGGATAAATATAAAACGACCCTGAGAAAGATTCTATTAAACATGTGTTTTGACTTCGTTCTCCGTTGTTACATCACTTTCAGCTGGGTGAAATATGGCTGACACTTATTCAGGAATGGCTCAGGCCCCCATAGCTTACCCTTGCCAGCTCCTTCTCGTCCACCTCTGTGTGCCGGGGACGCGAGTGTTTGGGCTCCTCCTTTGTGAAAATCGCCTTAGGCTGCTCATCCTCAGACTCGCTTTCAGACGGAGGCTCATTGATCCAGGCATCCAGGTCCAGGCTACACACAAAACAAACAAACAAACGCAGCTATACATTACAGATCCAGACTCAAAGATGCATTCAAAATCCAGACATGAAGTTCAGGGGGGATAAAAACAGGGTGCATTTGCATTTTTAAATTAAACCATATATATAACGACGGTGTTTCTAACATTCTTTACTGAGCCTTCACTCACCCTTCAGGAACAGGAACTTTCTTCTGCGCCTTGGGGGCGACGGGGTTGAGCTCTCCAGCGAACAGAGCGCTGACCTCTTCTGCTACTTCCACCTCCTTCTGCTGCAGTTTCTGGATGTACTTGACCAGCTGCAGGATGCAGGACGCCTGAAAAACACACACAGATTCCAGTTAACCGCCGACCTGCCTGGAGTTGGCACCTTAAAAGTTACGGGGTGAGCGGATCTAACTTGGCTCTTGTTTTTTTTCGGCCTCTTACCCTCTCCTGCACCTCCAGGTTGGCGCTCTGGACGAAGAGCGGCAGCCTGTCTATCATCAGCTGGCTGGTTTCCTGCGCAGCCGCGCTGTCCGTGTTCCCCTCCTGGCTCTTCAGCACGGTGGAAAACAGCTTGGCCGCGTTCTGGACGTACACGGCCTGGATGTGGCCGGGCAGCGTGGCTACTTTAGGCCGCAGCATGGCCTCCAGCGTCTGCATGGGGTTCTCAAGGTGCCTGAAGAGGAGAGAACATTTCTGTTAGCACTGAAAAAAAGAAAAGAAACCTGCTCTCTGAAAGTATGCTAAAATATTCATAATATAAGATATATTTTTCTTTTCTTCTTGATAAGTAGAAAGATTATGCAACTGACCCTTTAAATCAATTAAGAGAATGTGTTTAATGTGAGTAAAAGGGCTTATCCTTACTAATTATTTAATCAATCTGATCTTTTCTTGGATCTTTTCTGATGGGAAATGGGGAAAGTTGTCAAAGTGGATGAGCCGTGTAGCTCATTTGAGAATTGGGAGAGTTTCAAGCTTTGGTCACAACTTAGCTTTGGAGGTTGTGTATTTGAATCTAAACTGGAACAAAAGCTAAGGCGGTTGTTTAAACCCATCACCATGAAGCGCTTTCCCATTTGAGGGTTCAACTCACTCGGAGAACTCGCCGCAGATCCAGGCCGCGGCATACAGGACTTCGCAGATGCCGTTTCGCTGCATGTTCCCGGTCAGCAGGTGGGCGTTGTCCAGCAGGGTGGCCATCTGGGCGACGGCAAACACCCGGATGGCTTTGACCCTGATGGCCACGTCCAACATCTGGGAGGCAATGAGGTGGCCGTGCCGCGTGCCCTCTAACCGGGTCAGCTCCACCAGGATGCTGATGTACCTGTGGTTCAGACAGTGAAAGGAAGTGGTGTGAAATTTAAGAGGCGAGGACAGTAACGAGTAGAATGAAGCTTTACTGACCATTCAAAGTTGGTGATGTACTGGTAGTTGCTCTGGCTGCAGATGTCGATGATCTTTGTGAGCAACTCATCCCTGTAGGTGGTGCCTTCTGCTTTGTCTACGTGCAGCATCAGCTTCTTGACAATCTCCATCAAGTTCTTCTTGGACACCTGGAGAGAGAATTACCCAAATCAAAGGCGCTTCATTAATATCTTACCGGATAGCACTCCTGTTAAGAAGACAATGCAAAACATAGCTAAACTCATGTAGGTAGTAATCAATTATTTAAAAGTAGGAATTTTAACCCCCATCAACATTGGATGTTGGATCGCAGCTTTGTTACAACCCAAATTTGTAGCAGAGACCAGTTATTTATTCTGTTGACTTTTCAAACTTGGAAAACTATCATTTCACTGCATCTCAGCCTTTTATTACAGCTCTCACCAAGGAAAACCCATCAAGCAGAACTTTAAATATGGTATTCAGCAGCAGTTACATAAAAAACAACTTTTCTTTGATTTGTTTCAAGACCTGAATATTAGCTTAAACAAATGACGGATTTTCTGCACAGTGGCTTTGTTAACATGTTGAAAGCAGAGGATTTTTTCCCCTTACCATGCCATACAGCAGGTCCAGAGCTCTGAGGCGAATGGATTCGTCCTTGTCATCTAGACACTGGAGGATGAGGTCCTTATGAGACTGCACCGACTTGGGATGGGTCTTCAGGATCTTTGACATGGCCAGCAGGCCCAGGTATTTCACTTTGTTATAATTAGAATAAAAACACAAAGAAACAAAAAAAAAAAGCACGTGACTTCAATAAACTTAACAGGCACACAGTGCTTTGATCTCAAGATCTTATACTATATGTAAAATATACTACAGTTCTCCACTTAGCAAATGAAAATACCTTTATTCTAAAGACCGTACTGGTCCATGGCAAATATTTAGCTATAAATCACTAGGTAATAGTACAATCAAACCATTCCTTTGCAGTAATCATCTCTGAAACAATATGAAAGTAAAACACATTAAAAACATATAAAAAAAGGGTATGACACAAACAACGATGGAAAGGACACAAACAGAGACACACACGGGACACAGTTTTGCTTCGCTTTGTCCTCCGTACTCGCCAAGTTCATTTTTAGAGATTTAGAATTCTGCTGAGGCGTGGCCTTCGGTCCCTCGTCTAACCTGGCAGAGACTAATGACTCAGTTTCCTCAATCAATACACGTGCGTGATGGTGCCCTTGGTTTGAGGGAAACCTTATTACTGCAGTGAGTAAATTAGAGAAACAACCTGGGTTATAAACCGTAAACGCTGGAAATATCCAATTCTAAATTAAAATTGAGAAGGTGTGCATTTTAAAAACAAAGCATCTTCATTCTCTGAGTGCTAGCCATGCTCACCGAAATGACAACCGTATTAACTCTAGAATGAACTCTAAAATTGATGACGCATTTCACTGTTTTAGCAGCCTCACGGGGTAACACTAGAAGTATGCCAGACGACTTTTACTCTGAGGCTCCATTATGCTGAAATATTCTCAAAAGACTGTAAACTCCAAATACAAACTATTCTGTCTTTTTTAATTTTTTATTCAAAGGGTCTCCTGTCTTAACTTATTCTTTGTAATCAACATAGGTGCTTAAAAGTTAAAATGTTGGTTTTAATTGTTCTTGGCACGTTAAAACCTCAAACTCCACTCACCTGTAGCATACCGAGTCATTTGGATGGCAGAGCCAGGTCCACGGCCCAGTCATGTACTGAACTTTCTTTTTTTCCTGCCTCCCACTCAGGTGGGAGTGGTCGATTCTCATTCAGAATAGATATTTTGGGCCTATGTTTAAATGGCCCAGACTTTTGAAAACCGATTTCCTGAAAGCCAATTGGAGGTGCAGTAAAAGCATAAGCAAAACCTTTGAGTACAGATAAACACTCTGCTCTGGGACTAGACTACCAGAGGTGGGAAGACTACTCCACGGACACATCGCTATCTATAAATGGAGGTCCAGATAACTCGAATGGACGAATGCAGCAATCTGAGCTCCAACTGATGGGCACAAGAATGCAGTTATGGAAAGGCTTGATATCATATGACAGTATCTTGGCCAGTTTTAGCCACTTCCTGTCTTTTAGACAAAAAAAACAATGAGACAATGAGAAAATGACACACTGCAGGCATTGACAGAGGGCTCACAGTTCTGGTCCGAGTCTTCTATGAGGATTCGCAGTTTCTGCACACAGAGCTGTGGAGGAGGGACAGAAAGAAGAGAAAAAAAAGGGGAAACAGGGGGGAAACAGAGGGGGAGAAGGGCACAAGCATTAAAAACACTTTAAACCTTTCCACACCAGTTTCAGCCCTGCCATAAGACATTCCCAAAAGAAGATAAATTAGCCTAACTTAGATGTCTTAGATAGTCTTTGTGCATGACTGAAATGTAAACCGAGAGTAACAGCGAGTATTTACTGCCCAGCGGACGGCTGTTGTGCTCCCTACTTTGGATATATCTGACCAGACAGCCTTTCGAAAGCATGCACACAATTCAACTGGAGTGGAAAGGGTTATAATCAAGCAGCTGTTCACATGATTGTGCAGACTGGCGACAAGAACTCGGAGTCCTACCTGGATGCTAGCACTGTGGTTCGGCATCCCAGAGGACAAAGAGATCAACACTGCAACACAGGGCAAAAAGGCTACGTTACATCTGGACTAGAAAAAAAAAAAACAACCAAAAAATGTGGTTCAAATGGGGCAAAGTCTTTAACAAAATACAACTTAAGCCCACTTTATAATTAGAAAATTGTCATTTTCAAAAGCTGGACTAAGTAAGAATCAATTTCAATAACTATAACATGAATATTTCCACAATTTCCAAAGGTTAAATTGATTTATGTTCCAAATCTGCCATGTCCTTATAGGACAGATTCCCTGTACCAACCTGCAATCACAGTGTTGACACATTCATACAGCAGAGACATGGCAGAGGTGCTGTGAAGGAGGTGCAAAATAAAATAAAATAAATGAAAAAACAGAGCAAAAGGTCCCATTATTATCATCCATGTTTCTTTTCCATTTTTTTTATACGACCAGGAACAAGATTTACACTGAAGGGTTGATCTTACCTGTGGATAAGGTTAGTTAAAGGCTCGATGAGCTTCTTCCCGAGCCGTGGCTCCAGCGGTGTGAGAGCACCAAACTGTAAAAGTGTGTTGGGATTCTTTGGTAAAATTAAACTATTACAATAAAAATCTTCTTTTTTCCCATTTTTTCTAGAGTACACTGGCTGTTTTGTGGTGACTTCCCCCCGTGAGGAGGTTTCCTGCCTCAGGATGACTTACCAGCTTAATGATCTTAATGAGAACCCAGTTATTTGTAGAAGAGGTCATAAGCTTAAAGAAAAGTGGGGCCAGAGACAGGTAATTCTTGGGATTTCTCCTGGCCAGCTCGCAGATGACGTTTACCGCTGCTGACTGGACACCTGGATGTGGGGAAGAACAACACGCATTGAGAAGAAGCAAATAGTAACAAGGGCAGACATATAAACTTTCGGTCTAATGTAAATCAAGTATGATTACAAATAAGTAAATATAACAATGACGGGAAAATGACTAAACAAACTACAATCCAAGTTATAGTACTGATAAAGAAAATGAGTTATGTCAGGCACATTCTTAGAATCTGAGAGAGATTTTTCTCCTCAGCTTACATCACATTTCACATATACTTTTAGCAGAGGAGCTTTTAGATCATGGAGCCCTTTCAGAATCTTGACCCACCGAGTATAAATTCTTACAGCCAGTGAATAATTCATGCCACCGCCGGCGTGGTTCAGGTTACAGCGTTCTATGTCTGGCCAATCAGACGGCTTCTGCAGCTCATGCGAAAGCATCAACATCCACAGCCTTTAACATACTGTGTGCTCATATCCACGACACCATCATCATACCCCCACACCTCCTCTTTTTGCTGATGAACCAGCTGCTTCTTTAAATGAAGTGTTGCACAGACCTCTGGGGAGGTTTGCTCTTAGCTGGAGGGTGGTGCCGCTTTACCATCATTTCTACAATGTTTAAAAACCGGCTTATAGGATCCGAGTTTGTTTCAAGACACTCTTCTTCCTAATAGTTACAATTTTAGTGCCTACTTGGATTCTGAGCAAGTTTAGTTGAGTCAAACAGACTACAGGTTGCCGATTCGGCAGTCGCATGACTGAATGAGTCATAAAAGCTGCTCTGTCACGTGTGCTCTGCCTATTTTAAAAGTGCGGCGGCCAAAAAAGGTGCTTTTTAATAATTTCTGTGATCAAATGGCTGCCTCGATGCAATCCCCCCATCGCACACAAATGTCCTCCGTGGACTTTGGGACCATGTTGCTGTCAAGACCTAACTTGTAATGGAAGACGTAAAACCAAGCCGAATAGAGGAAAGTAAAACCAGGTAGAGCCGAGCAGGTACTAAAAGACCATATAAGCCCATATTTGGCACGTCCATTTGCTTTAACCATCTCCTACCTTGAAATATTTTAGACTGAATCGGCTTCCCATGGCCCCTTTCATACCCTTGCAATTATTGCCGTGGTTCTTGCTAGCATTAAAGGAATAAAATGTTGGATAACAGTCTTACTGACAAATGCCTTTTGAGTTTTTTTAGTATGGATCGTTTTTATTATAGCCCTATTTTCCAGGTTTCAACATGTTCTAACATTTGACTCCCAACTAGACCCCCTTAGCATTAAACTATGCCTCCATCCTAAACAGAACTGCACAGAATCCAATTAAAGAATCTGCAGCTAACATTCTTTAGGATCAATCTCATGTTCTTTATCAAACTTTAATTTCATACATATAACAAATAGTTTTTTTTCCCCCTCAGAATATTCACAGAGGACAATTATATCGGTCTATATCACAACCTTTTCTTCACAGGCCGACTGTATGAGCTGCATACGGTTTAGTCTTATTCACGGTTTACTTTTATTTATCTCATGGTTACGGCTGAAAAAGGCACCATCAACCTGGAATGATTAGTCATTTAAAGTAATTGGACATTGACCTGACTCTCTACAAGACTGTGTCGATCTATGTTCTTATATTCAGGTAGCCGGTGGATGCGGTGTGGTTTTCCCCGTACCTGGGTCGGGGTCTTCCAGTTTTTCTTTGAGCCGGGGGAAGGCGGGGCGCAGGGACTCGGGGTATTTCAAAAACACTTTGTACATGATCAGCACGGCTTTTTTCCTGATGTAGGGTTTAGTGTGGGACATCTGAAGCAGAAAAAAACAAAAAAAACAGCAACAGTCAGAAACGGACCGCAAATCCTGCAGGTAATCTGGAAGTCTGCCGGACTCACGAGCGTCATGATGTCGTTGGCGAGGTCCCGAGCCAGGTCGGGGGTCACGAAGCACGAGAGGCCGGTCAGGGCAACGCCTGTGTCGTACTGGTTGGGACTACTCAGATCCTGAAAGAGAGAGAAAGAGAAATTGTTTAAAACAGGAAGGAGAAATCCACAAGGCAGAAAAAGCCAGCCAGGCCAGAGGCATTACTGACCTTCCGGATCTGATTGGTTGTCAGCATAATGACATCTGTGCTCTCGTGAAAGCACTGCGAGGCTGCCAAGTAACCGATCCTCTTTAGGACGAAAAAGAAAAGCCAAAATCAGGTGTGAATACGAGTCTCAGACCTGTTGCCAGCTTCTTTAAAGCTCTGTTGCGTGGCGTTTTAGTCTTACCTTGTAGGTGAACTTTGAGGAACTCATGACCTCCACGATGTTGAAAGCGGCCCAGCTGACGTCGTAGCCCAGCATCTGGAGCTGCGACACACAAAGCAGAAACGTAAACAAACAGCAGCGGGGCTCTACACGGGACCAGTGGAGCATAAGGAAACAGAACCGAGCAAATGCCAACTAAAGCTGTGAATCTGAACCAAGTTTGTACATTGGTTTGATCTGGAAAGGAACTGTTCTTTGTTTAGTTTGTATGTCAGGCTTTGTGATACCTTAATCTTCACATGAGGTGTCGTGTTTGGAAAATATATAATATAGGTGGTGGGTTCTGTTTTTATTCCATTTCTGCTCACGAAAGCTTCTATAGAAACAATGAGATAGGATTCTGCTTGGATCTTGAATCTGGTGTTTCGTTCCAGTCGGAGTTTTGTACATTTGTCAACATGAGATGACAATTAAAGTGAGTGTGACTGATTTTCTAAGATTGTATCCAATTGGATAACACCTGGCCGGCTACAAGATTCCAAATGTCTCCTTTTGGAAATTCAGAAAATCTGCGATATCATCTGTAAATAATACGTCTCTTTATTTACATTTCGCTTTAGGATCTTTAAACCAGTTTGCTTTTGGTCACGTTTTCCAACCTTCCACCTGGAGAATATTTCCTCTCCTACTTACATAGGTGAGCTTGCACACGGCGTTGGCTTTGACGGCGATGTTGTCCTGCTTGAGCTCCTGCTTGATCTCGTCGATGCACGTGGAGATGTATTTGGCCTGAGGGGGCGGACAAAAGGACAACAGACACCAGATCAGATTAGCTGGAGCAATATCCGGAGTGGAGCTCTGCTTCGGGGAAAATAAATAAATAAATACAGCTGGAGATTCTGGCGTTGAGGATACAACTGAAAGAGCAGTTTGCTCTACTCGCCATTATGCATGTCCAATTCTTACCAATATGGGCTCATGCACAGCTGCTAATTACTTATTTCATTTGAGTGGACCTTTATAACGGATTTAACTTCCATATCATCCCAAAAATAATAATAACGCTAACCTCACATAGGGGCATCATGCCTGCATAGATGAGAAAAGGAAGCTGTTGTCCTTAGGATTGCGCTACCTGGAAAATTGAGTGGCTTATTTTAAATTAGCATGTGGCAAGGGGGTGTTACTAGCTTGAATCCATGAAATTGTTAAGAGGAGAACCTCGCTGTACAAAAACACACACATGGCTGCGTGGATGGCAGAAGTGTGCTGGTCATGTGTGTGCAGTCATGAGACAGCACAGGGACAGGAGGAGGAAGGGGGGGGGTGGTAGATTTCATATACTGCCACCAGGCAGACCCACTG